AAAAAAATGCAGTTTATATAAGGTCCTGAAGATGAGGGTGTGCTTCATGTCAGCCAAGTCACTTCCTGCTTTAACAAGTGATATGGACAAGGTCAAAGCTGTCACCTGAAATGTGGCATCAACACAGATGGGGTGTCTGACAGAGAGAATCCTACTTCCTGCTGTTGGGGAGTCGGAAGACAACAGAGGGCCCGCAGATCCGGTAGACTGATGCAGGGAGGGAATGTGTAGCTTTTTAAGCATATTGAAATAGTTGAAATATAATTTTATATTTAAAAAAATATTGTTTCATAATACAAACACCAAAAAATGGAAACTTAGTATACATTTTTTGGTCAACAAGGATATGAAGAAAAAGTTTCAGAATCACTAAGGAGGCCTAAAATATTTATGTTTAGTCAAGGAAGGCATAGGCCTAAAAAGGCCCGTCATATTGTCCCCAAAATAGGATAAGTAGAAGGAATGTGATTAGATCAGTTTAATTTTGCCTTTCACCTCTTTCTCCCCATTTTAACTTTTCTGTCTAATAAAAATAGCAAGGAGTTGGACTGGACCATCTCTGGGTCTACCATTCAGTGAACTGACAAAGAAAGGGAAAGACATTCCACGGTTATTTCTCCAGGGATCCTAGCAAAATAGCATGGCCATTGATTAGCAATGTCTAAGGATTTTAGAAATGAAAAATACACAGCTTTTCTATGCAAGGCCCTGCAAAGTAACTGTATGTATAATTACTGATATTTGTTCAGAATATGAACAGAACTTGCATACCAGGAGTATAAATCTCCCCCGAATGACAGCACTGACAGCTGGTGATTTATACACATGGCTCATAATCCCATACATTACTACTCTGGGATATCCTTTGGCAAGACAGGAGTTGAGAAATGTGATTTATTCTTGGGTCTATTTCATTAAGAGGAAAAAAGACATGCAAGGGAAAGAATCAGATCTCTTTTTCTTTCAAAATTATTGTCTTTAACTATAAACATATATTAATTATCTAGTATGTTTCAGGTAACTGGTTAGTAAAAGACAAAAGGCAGTATTTGCTCTAAAAAAAATCAAGGGAATGAAAAATAAACCAAAAAACTTTCCTAGTTTCGAAGATGACATACATTACATCGGAGATGATACAAGAGAATACAGGGTGAGAACAAAGCAACGCAGGAATTCTGTGGAGACAGAGCTTATGGCTGGGGCAGGGTGGGGGCAATAGGCAGGGCTTTAATGAGGAGCTAGAAACTCAGTGAACCTTCTTGGAAGGAAGGATGGGGACTGGGTAAATGATGAGACTCAAGGACACTCCAGGAAGGTCTTTGAATGAACAAATCTCAGACACAGAACATGGGGCACGTTTAGAAGTCAATGTATGGACCAACTAGGCTATAGCAAAGGTTCCAAGTAGAAGAGAAAGAGATTGGGGAAATTAGGGAATAGTCACACCATGGAGGGAATTCCACACCTGACTAAAAACTTCTGATTTTATCCTATAGCACAATGGTGACTTCCCACGCTCTGGAGTCAGACAAAAGGCTTAAACCCCCGTTTTTCTATTTAATTGCCACATGACCTTAGGCACATTCGTTACTTTTCTTTATTTTTTTACTTCCTTCCTTCTTTTCATCTTTCTTTTTTTCTGAGTTTGGCTTTACTTTTTTCAACTTCCATTGTGAAAATTGGCAAAGATGCACACAAGTCAAGGCAATCATGTAATCCGCCCCACGTAAGCATCCACCCTTCCCACTCCCTCCTCAAACCTCCCTTACCTATTGCATTAGGCCTGATAGGATTCAGTACCTGGGAGCACCTGGTTAAGGAACTCCTGCAGGTGGGAGGAGCTAGGAAAGGCTAACTGAGGAGGACCTATGTGAAAGCAGTATCCACCTTAGACTTGAGATACATGGGTCCCAACCTGAGTCTCGTGCTTTAAAGGGTCTGCTCCCACCCTCCTCTGGCCACTCTCCTTTCCACAGGGGAAGGAGTCCCAAGGAAAGGTTCCCCACCTGGAACCTGCGCCTCCTCACAGCCCTGGTATGGTACATGGAACCCAGGAATTTCCTGCTTAAATGTCTTGAAGCCACCTCTAGGACATGCTCTCCCCAGCTATGTGCACCATGAAAACCTAGAGGTGGGCAGGTGGTTGGTTGAGAGGTGGATGCAGGCAGAGCTTAGACCTGTGGGCTGAGGCTGCTCACATATGTGTGAGGCCCCTAAAAATACTAAAGAAGAGAGTAGAGGGAGAAAGAAAGGGTTCCCCTGCCCCTGCCTTGGTCCTACAGACGAAGAACTCCCATCTGGAGCTCCATTCTTGCCCCACAACCCACAAACGTTAAGGGCAGGCCTCTGAAAGAAGTGCCACCTACAATTTTTCTCAATGTTCTTGAATTTAAATGTATGTCACTGATGTCTTTGGTCAGTTCAGCTCCTAGGACCGCCAGAGAGCCAGATGGGCATTGTCTGAGTGCCTGGGGGAGTCGAATAAAGTTTACACATGAGACAATGAAGTTGACCAAGATGGTTGTCATCAGAAGAACGGGAATGCATTGAACCACGAGGCCACAAAGCAGACCAACATTCTCTTGGTGAGCAGATCTTTTCAAGGGCTTTCTCTATCAGAGAGTTAAAGCCCTGTGGTGTTTAAAACAAAAACCACCTGTGGATGCCTTTGTATGACAGAATTATTGTTTATGAAAAAAATACTTCATTCTGGAAGGAGAGAAGTGCTAGGAGTAATCCCCATTACATCCTAGAATTCAGTCATTCAAGTGTAAGTGGGGGGTGGTGGGGTGGGGTGGACTGTAGGTGCTATGTGTCTTAACAGGCAGACATCTAAAGAAAAAAAAAGTAGAAAAAGCAAAGTAGGGCAGCCCACAACAGCAATTAGGATATTTTATTCCTGAGTGGATAATATGTGGTTTCATTTAAGTAAGAACACAATCTCCATTAACTTAATTTGTAAAAGCAATAACTCCAACACTCCAGCTATTGCCCTAGTAAGGCATTTTTAGACACATCATTGCTACTTCGAAATTAAAAGTGAATCAGTCCTGTGGAGTTAATTACCAGTAAATATAACCTAAAGTAGGTCTCTCAAATGGCACTGAGCCAGCATAAGCCGGTTCTCGGTGTTAACCAGAAACATTGGAAGATACCAGGTACTTGAAAAGCTAAGTTTCCATGTGTGGCAAATGCTTTGGGGATCAGCAGGAGACATCATTTGCAGCATCCGCAGTGAGAAACAAAAATAAAAGCCTGATTAAAAGAAGACCTCTTTGATAGAGATTTAGAAAATTGTCCCCTCAGCCCCGCCCCCTCAAAGGAAAATCTTCAGCTGTTGTTGTTGCAACCTATCCCCCAACTCAATTATGTTTACAGAAAGGAAATCACACCTCTTTCTTTTTAATGCTGGCATACAACCCTATTTAATTATGTAAGGTAGAAATAACTTGAGAAACGAAAAATAAAATTAAATAGAGCCAGAACAAAGAAGTGATTCTCATCACTAGTGCTTCGGAATACAGTGTCCTCTGTTACAGTGTTCTCAAGGAGATATGCCAGAAGACCAGAGACAGAAGGAAAAAACTCAGAGAAATAGTTGTCTGAACTTTAATTAAACATTTGAATCATAATTAAATATTTGAATCAAGGAAAATGGGAATAGATGAAACCTTAGTGAGAGAGAAATGGTACATGCACAAAGGGGAGAGATTAATACAATGACTGCTGACCTATTATTGGTAATGAATATATTTGTTTTGTTTTACTACAAACATGTCTAAGTTTCCTGCAACTCCCATAATTATTCAAACGCACGCAGGTTCCCACCACCCTAACTTATGATGTTCAAGAGTGCAACAAAGCAAGCTGTTTCTGTTCCAAACTACACAGTTAATTGAGGTTGTTCGGCCCCAGATTTGATGTAGTTAGCAGTTATAATGCTAATAGATGATTATCTTCAATTACTTTTTTCCCATTTTAATTTCATAAAGTGATTTCACATGATTTTGCATTTCAGCTATTTCTAAATAAATTTAGTAAACCAAAGACAAGCCTCAAATCATACATTTTCAAATAGATTCCCATTTGAACTGTTTGCTATTTATAACTGAGTTATTACACCTCCTTCAACGGACACAATGTTAACGTTGAGTGTCATGGTAATATATAGGCGAGCTACATAAAAAACCGGTGTTCCTTTCTAATGTGTGGCTTATCTAAACCCTAAAAGAGCACAGACTGCTTTGCAGAGCCAAAACCATTATTATTGATCCATCTTGACTGTGGTTCCATTTGCAAGATAAAGTCCCAACTGGGAGTTTCTCATAAATTGGGTCAAGACAAGAACCGTAGGTAGCCAGGGTATCTCCGTGTTTCTTTTGCAAATAATTGAAGGCCACTTCTTCTGGTGTCTGGAAGAAGTAAAATGTCCTTGTCTAATGGGTATTGCTTTAGTATATACCACATGCCCAGTAAGTTCTAGCATCTAGGAGCATGCAATAGCAGCTAAGATTAGCTATGCAGTCATGGTATTACTAGTGTTTAATTATATCATGTGCATTGAGATATTTTAAATGTTAAAGAGAAAACAGAAGGACTTATTCTCCTTAGCAACCACTATAGTACAGAATGTTCAAAGCTGCAGTCACACTCATAAGGCAAGTAAACTGATTACAAAACAAAGGTAGCAACAAGTGTGCATGCTATAGAAAACAAGAAACTGGTACCTAAAATGGATAACCCCCTCATTTGTTTTAAAAAATTCCATCGCTGGCTCAGACCATCAATCAGCACAAGGGGAATTTTCACTTTAACATCTAATGCCAATGTTCAGTCTTAGAAGTGCAAAAACAGGTGTAAAGTAATAAATCTGTTTTCTCTTTTCTCACTGGCTAAGATTCTATCTCATTCAGCAATGATTTGACTTCATAAAAACCCTTTTAAGAATAAAGGGCTTGAGGTCTTAATGGCCACTCATACTGGTGTGCACATCTGTGGCTTCATTCTTCAGGTTCATACAAAGGCTAAAGCATAAGAGAAGCATCATCAAAGATAAGTTACTTTCTAAAATACTTCTTAAATCTTATTTCCTTCATCAATAGTATTTCCTTTGGCTTATGTGCACTCGAGGCGCTTCATCTCTATTATAAGATGATGAAGGTGGGAACGGTAATACAGTAATACGTTATCAAAGCTCTTTTCAAAAACAGTGCTGAAATAAATTAACCTGTTCTTTTAAAATGTCAGGGTAGCAAGTTCTTGAAGTTTCCGGCGTCTTGACTGTAGGATTGCTCTAAAACACAAAAACAAAGGCTAAAAACCAGGTGGCTGTTCAAAATGACTTCGGGGACCCCATTTAGGGAGACACCTTGGTTCCCAGGTGTCCCACTGGGGTCGAAGGCGAAATCTTCGCACCGATTTATCGGGCCCGGCCTGCAGGAGTCTTCGTTCCGACAGCGGGGACTTTACAAGGGCAGGAGGCGATGCTGGCCAAGGACGTTGGAGGCCGGCATCCCCGCTTCCCTCGGGCCGGGGCCGGGTCACCAGTGCTGGCCGGCGGCGCGGGTGCCCAGCTGCGCCTGGGACACGGCGGGCACGGCC